TTATTATTATAGTAGTAGTAGCAGTAGGAGTAGTATCAGCAGCAGGAGTAGTAGTAGAAGCAGTAGCAGTAGTAGTAGTTGCAGTAGTAGTAGTAGCAGTAGCAGTAGTAGTAGTGGTAGTAGTAGTAGTAGTAGCAGTAGTAGTAGCAGTAGTTTACTCTTTGGTATTTCTCAAAAAGAATACGTGCTCCGATATGAGCGGACGTGTTTGCGTCTTCGAACTCGGCCTCTGCAACACTTAAAAAATAAAAAATAAAAAATAGGCGTCTCTAGCCATTGTGATATTTTTAAAACGAGATAAAATTTTCTAGGCCAAAGTGAAGATGGCAGATATATATCTGAACCAGCGCAAAGATCAGAAACTTTACATAAACTGTTACAAGTTTGTTTGTTGATTGGCTTGCTGGTCGGTTGATTAATAGGATAAAATTTACGTTGATTGATTGAGTAATTAATTAAAAGTTGATTGAATGTTTGATTGATATATTCAAAGATTGGTTGATGTATTTAAAGATTGAATATTCAAAGATTGATATATTCAAAAATTAGAATGTTAATTGAATGAGATTTTGAATGAATTTTATTCAAAACTGGCGAGGATTGATTGATTATTTGTTTGTTCGTTTGTTTTGTTTGCTTATATTAATTGGTTAATTGGTTGGTTGGTTGATTGATTGGTTGGTTGGATGGTTGGTTGGTTGGTTGGTTGGTTGGTGGTTGGATAGTTTAGTTGATTGGTTGGTTGGCTGGCTGGTTGATTGGTTGGTTGGTGGTTGATTGATTGTTAAAATCTCAATCAAGAGATTTATACGAGAAGAGTCCAAGTATAGAAACTGGTGTTCTTCTAGGTGATGCCTATATGGAAGTTCAACAAGTGTGTTATTCATACATTCATTCATTAATTCATTCATTCAATTATTTATTCATTCATTCATCCATCTATTCATTCATCCATTTTTTAATTAATTAATTAATTCATTCATTAATTCATTCATTCATTCATTCATTATCCATTTATTCATTCGTTCATTTTTTAATTCATCCATCCATCCATTCATTTACCCATTTTTTAATTCATTAATTCATTCATTCATTCATTAACTAATTCATTCATTCATCAATTCAGCCTGACAAAGCGATAGAATCTTACGAAGTTTCCATAAAAAAGAACCCGAAAGACCCTGTCCTAGCAAATAAGATCGGACAAGCACTTGTTAAAACTCACCAATATGGCCGGGTTTGCTATTGTTGTTGATGTAGTTGTTGTCGTTACTACTACTACTACTACTACTACTGTTACTACTACTACTACTAATACTACTCTACTACTACTACTACGATTACCGCTACTACTACTACAACAATAGCTACTACTATTACTATGCTTCTTCAAAAGTTGCACAATCTCTACTCAATGATCATTTTAATGTTCTTAGCTTAATCATTACTTATTATTGCCGCTACTCATCTACTCATTTCATCAGTCGTTCACTCTCTCCTACATTGACGTAATTATCATTTTCATCGCCTTATCATCCTTCTTTTTCACTCGTTTCATCAGTCATTCCATCATTCCTATCTTGTCATCATTATCATAATTTTCATCAGGCTATCATATACTATGAAGCTTCGCTGAAACAGAGCGGCCAGCATACACTGAGGTGATTATGATGATGTTGTTGTTG